CTTTTTTGGAGCTGACAACTATGGCGAAAAGAGCAGCTGGTGAAGAAACAGCCTCCTCGGAATCCCTCTCCGGATTAAGGAGAAGACAAGGATTGCCCACAAGTTTGCTCCATACAGAATCTCCCTGCGAAGTTAGTAAAATAATGATCGCCAACAGGTTTGACAGTTCCGGAAGCCAGGGGAAAAACATTATGCCTAAGCCGCGGTTTGGCACCCTTCAAAGAGACACTGGGTTTGCCTACTTCCTCTCTTAATTACTTTAGGAAGCTGCTTTTTACTGATTTCTTAGAAGTTAAGAGCCTTCTGAAGAGCAAGTTTTATTATGCTAGGAGAATCTCCTTCAACCCTGGATGAAAGAAGTTTTATGTAAGTGTAAAGATTAAAAAGAAAATATTTACTTTTGGGAAACAGCAAAAGGGAGACTAGAGTGTGAATTTTAAAAAGTTAAGGGGCTAGATGGACTTGAAAGAATATTTCCTGTGGGGTGTTTAAAAATTTATAAAAGAATTTATGAAGTTGCTAAAATTAATTGTAAGAAATCCTCCCATGGGAAAGTTTTGTGGACTGGAAAATAAACAGATGATAAGAGGAGACTTGAAAGTTGTCTAGAGGGAACCAGAGAAAACAAACGGTTACAGTTAAAGGAGAAGAGACCCACTAATACAATGGAGCATATTATTTGATTATATAAGAAATGAACGCTGTTTGAGAACAATATACTCAGAAATTACTCACAAGATTGTCTGATATTATAACAGAGGATATAGAAGAACAAAGGATTTTATTGGACAAAACAGAGATTGAGGCTGATTTGAATGTGGATTTGAAGTTTAAAAAAATGCCGGATTATAAAAGTGATATGGAAAAAGATGCTGTGGATTTGAAAATTGATTATAAGAGTGAAATAGAAAAAGATGCCAGAATGGATTTACAAATGAAATTAGCTGATGTTATAATAATTAAAGGGGCACACAAATAATAGATCAGAAGAGTGACTTGGAAGGCCTTCTTATTTGGGATTTACAGAAGGAATGTGGTAAATCAATGAAACTGTTTCTGAGAGGAGACAAAGAGAAACTATTGAAGTTGTTCCTGAAAGGAAACAAAGAGAAAATGATAAAAAAATCAACCTGTGGTACACTATCTGACAGTATTAAAAATCCAGCTTTTTAAAAGTAAACAGAAGATTTACAAAGTAAATTTATTTGATTATGGTCAAATATATACATTGTGGTTTCTGGTAGCTATCAGTGGGATTTCTTTTTGACCAGGACTGAATGATGAGGTTTTAAGGATCTGTTTATTAGTGGGGAGAGATTTATTTTGCTTTACTTCTTAGAGAAAGTGATGAATTGGATTATAAAATGGATTTTTTTGATTAAGGTTAAAATACATATGTTATTATTTTTGGTAGCTCTTAATAGACTTTTGTTGATTAGGATTGAATGATGAGTTTTTATACTTTGATTATTGATAAGGGATGAGTTATGGGAAGAAGAGATCCTTTTTCTTTTATTGAAATACTAGAGAAGGTGTTAAGTTACTGAAATTGCTTTTCCAGAGGGACGGGAGAGTCATCTTTTATATATTCTCTTTTTCTTTTTTCTTTCCTTTTTTCTATCTCTTTGCATTTCTTTTTTAATTTTCTTTACTTTCTATATTTTCTTTAGTTTGTATTAGTCTTTTATGTTTGTACCTGTAAACTCTAATAAAATTATTATTTTTAAAAAAGAAAACAAATGTAATATATAAGAATATTACTTGACAGTACACATGATCTATGCAGGTTCATCTATCTATCTTTCTGTCTATCTTGAGGGGAAACACAAATATATTGAACATCCCTATACAGTATCTCTCCCCAGAATAACAAAACTAATCTATTTTATTAATTTTTTTAAACTTCACAAGCTAAAAAAATTATGACCAGATTTGTTTGTTTTTCATAGAATTGCAAATATGGAACAGGCCATTTTGGCCATTGAGTATAATACCCTTTCCAGTGCAGGAAATTCAAGCATCCTTAGAAGATAATTGCCTATATCCAATAAACAACAGCCTGTTGCCTCTCTTTAAATGGAGTCTTTATGGCCTGCTCTAGAATATTCCCGCAGCTAGCCATTGCAACATAGTTTCCAGCAGGTCTTGGAATGTTGTGATATTGTTCCTTTGACAGTGGAATTTCTTGGTTTATTTGATTAATATTTCCAGTGATATACACATGTGACATATGATATTATCAATATTTTATTTTATTTGTATATTTTAAATCCAAATGTTAAAACAAAGGTTGGGCCACTCAGTCATTTGTTATTGGAGCTGTTTATAAGCCCAGTAAATAAGTCAATAAATAAAATAATTGCTATCAAACCAACTGGGCTATAGTTCCCTGGATCTTCCTTTTCCCCAATTTTGAAGGCATCTTCAGTGAGCAGGTGATTTACAGATTCTTTTCTTTTTATTTTCAACGTATTTAAAGAAGTCCTTTCTGTTGTTCCTTTGCCAATCACAGCTCATTTTGAGCTTTAGCTTTCTTGACACGATTTCTACAACACCAGATTTTCTGTATGCTTCCTTGGTGACCTGCACCTCTTTCTACCTCCTCTATATGCCTTAGGGACTACTGGCACAAGATCAGATAGATTTCTCAAGGACTGGTAAAAATGTCCATTATTGAAGTGCGGCGGGTTTGGTCAGGGAGATGTTAAAGTGAATTCAGTGGGAGTTACAAACATAAATAAATAAATAAATTCACAGACTCATGCACTGCGGAAGTGGGATTGTCAGTATAATGGAGACTCTTAAACTATTCAATGCAAAATCCAAAAGAATACAAAACTAATTTTGTTTGTTTAAATACTAATTCTCAGAATATGGGACATATACAAGATGAGTTGAATTCTTAATACAGGATAGCAAATTTCAGAAAAGGCAATGATATACCAAGAAAGTAAGAAGTAGTAAACCAAAGAAGTTAAAGGCATGAAAAAAGAAGAAATATAGCTAAAATTAGTTTGCACCAATACCACTCATTACTCCATTCCATACCATTTTTCCTTACAAGCCATCCTTGTTTTTGCCACATCCATATACTGCTTCATAAAGTGTTCTTCTCACTTTATAAATTCCATCCAATCACAACTTTCTTGTCATCTCCTTCTTCTCAACCCATTCACTCTACATATAATTGTTTTGCAATTCAGTCCTCATTTATTCTCTTTATATGACCAATCATCTCACTGTATTTATTTTGTCTTTATCACTTACCATTGTGAACAATTGCAATTTATATATAAATGAAATTAGAGTGAAAAATTAGAGTAGACAAATATGTACCTTGGCAGAATGTTTACTAAAGATGGGGAAATGGATGGAGAAATATTAAAAAGGCCAAATGCCAGCAGAGTGGAAGTGGGTAGCATGTGCTCTTTTATGAGAAGTGAACATCAAAAAGATAAAAAATGTCTGTGTGAAAGAGCAGGTGTCTGCCTACTTTACATTATGGAAATGAGAGTTGGGTATGTCTAGAGAAACATAAAAGTATGTTAAATGCTGTGGGAATGAGGAACCTTTGTGTCTGGGAGTTAAGAATGAACAGCTTCCTAATAAATGTGGATTGAATATCAAAAGTAGGAAAAAATAAGTTAAGGTGCTTTGGTCATATAGAAGGAATGTATGAAAATAAAATTACAAACAAACATATAAAAGAGGGAATGGACTGAGACGAAGGAAAAGACCAAAAAAGCTGTGCTTGTATGGAGTTGATGAGATCCTGAAAAAGAGAGGTGAGGATTTCTTTGGCATACTGCTCATGTTCCTTTTCTGTACTCTGCATGCTGTTGGTTATCCCCAAAGGGAATAACATGATGGGTATGCACGTCTGTGGATACAGTATGAACTGATGTCAGCTGCAACAATTGTTAAACATGAAGTATTGTATGGCTGGTGTGGGTCTTCCGGGCTGGAAGCCTCCGAGCCTTCGACAATACATGAAGCATTGTAGATTGTGTGGCTAATTTAAAGACTGCTAAGCAGCAACTAAAGAAGCTCACCAAAGAAACTAGTTCAACGTTTGGGATACTATCACAAAAAGATTTTCTTATACATCACCATGAAATCTATCTTGGCAGGATGCAAAATAAATAATACAGCTTTCCAGATTATTTTATGTAATGAACAAATTTGTTACAGTTTAAAGGTTACTAGCAATACTTTGAATTGCCCTGCACTCACACAGTTTTCTTGGCAGTCTTATGGAAGTGGATTTGGTTACTTCCTCCTGGGAAGGTTTATTTAAAAAAAAAAAAATCACGGCCTGTAACACTTACAGAGCTAGCACAAAAAAGAAAAAAAAAATCTTACATCTGAATGGATTGCAACAATATGAGAAAACGAAATGACAGCAACGATTGCATTCAAACAGCTAGGTAATTAATTTGAAGAATTTTAGAAGCAAGCTTTTCTAATTTTAGAGGTAAGGATTTTTCATTTGGATATACCGCTTATAATGAAACAATATCCGGGTTGCAACCCTTCAGTGCGAGGGAAATGAAGGTAGCTGAACAAGGTGCTAAACATTCCCCGCATGCCAAAAACGAGTGGATTCTGGGGAAGACTTTGATGTGTTTCGTTTGGGTGAGCGTTAAAAACTGTTGGTTTGTTTTTGATGGGGGGATTCAATCAGAGGAGCAACCGATAACGGGCCAAGAACACCTCCCTGATACCTTCCAGCGAGGAGAGAGGCGACAGTCTCAAACCGAAGAGACCCGCGTTTCGCCTATAAAGTACACCCCAATGAAAAGTCTCCTCCAGGGCACTGACCACCGAGACGGCGAGGACAGAGCGGCGCCAACCTCAGCACCCCGCCAATCATCCGGTTAACGTAGGTTCGCGCCAGTCTTCCTAAACTGACAGCGCGAGTCCCCGTAGAGGGTGGCCGAGCGGTTACCCGGGGCAACCCAAGAACGCGTCGGGGCGGAGCTGCTGGAGGGGAGGCCAACATGGAGGAAGCGGCGACTGTGACCACCGCGGAAAGCACCTTCTGCCTGCAGCGTATCCTTGGCTTTTTCCTTCGCCCTCCCTGGAGAGGCGGGGTGGAAAGCAGCAAATCGTACTGCATAGGCGAAAGGAAGGAAGCGGGGGGTCTCAGCGGGTTTGGAGGAGAAGACAGCCGTCCCCAAATCTCGCTCTTTGCTCTGAAAATCTAACAAGACTCAAGACATGATCTCTGACTAGATGGATAAAGGCTTGGCTCTGTGATTGCGGTTGTATGCAAGCTGATTGGGAGTGCGTGTGCGTCCTACTGAATTTAGTGAGACTTACTCCGAGTAGAAACATAACTGGATTGTGTTGTTTGTATCTTGAAACAATTTACCTCTCTATAAAGGGGTAAAAGAGGGTAATATCCAAATATCTTACATATTAAAGATTACATAAACAAAAAGAAAGAAAATATGATCTTACTTGCATTAAATATACAGATTTTAAAAGGTAACAGTATAATCCTTTGGCTGGCAATAGTTGCACCTGGCACGTTTATTTAAATTACTTTTCATTACAACTTTGCATTTATTGGTGGATTTACAATTTGTGTAGTCTATAAATGATGCCCATATTAAAATAGCACAGTTTCTCCTGTCCCTCTGGTATTTGTATTTGGTGTGAATAGTTATAATTAGTTTTCTTCATTTTGTTTAGTTTTTTAGTTTTCTTTCTATGACAAATTAGTTTTTTTTCCCCCTGGGATGAACATTTTAATTTGTATATAGAGTTGTATAACATCTGACAAGCTAGGAGAGTTTTCCTAAAACCTACCAACTACCCTGTTGTAGGTAAATAGATTGCACTATTTACAATTTTTAAAAAAAAAATTCTCATTCATTTTCCTTCAGGTTTTCAAGACTGCTTTTTCATATAAAAGCTGAGAGGGGGCAGTCGTTTCTATGACACCTATTAAAGGCATTTTACAGTAATGTGCAGTCCAGTACTATGCAAGTTCACTTTTTTTCTTTTACTGCTTTGGTGAAGTAATGGAAGGAGTAAAAGAGTTCCACTGAAGCTTCAGGCATTTCCTTTGGGTAAAGTTACCATATATGATAAGGCAGAAGAATGTGTGTTTCACTTTTTCTGCATTAGTTTGTTATTCAAATTGCAAAGCTTGTTTCTTGGAAAATCTCGCAGAGCATTCAGCAGATCTTTCGATTCTTTAAGATTCAGCAAATGGGTGGGTGGGCTATCTTAATGGACCTTTCATCCCTTCAGGTAAGATAATTATTAATCCAGACTTCTGATCGTGACAGTGAGATGGTGATGAACCCTTCCAGTTTCATCATATCCTCCTTATATTTCAGGGTCAAAGCAAGCATATATCTTCTACAGTATATGTTGTGCCAGTGATATGTGGAAATAGCTACATGTTGTCATGGTTGCTATGGAATTCTAGGTTCACACTGATGGTGCAGCCCTGATGATGAAATCTCCAAGAAACATTTTTCCTAGAGTCTCTAACTACATTCAAGATAACCTGCAGCAGTTTATAGAGAGGCTGCTTGGCAAATAGGTAGATGGTAAATCAGTTGAATCCTCAAAGGCTTAACTTCTGCATCTGAGTGGAAAGCCTTTTGAACGAGAGTCATTCTCCCCCTGTTGCCCTCTGTTCTTTTCTAATACTATAAATGAATATTCAGATAGACATAAATGGGTCAGAACAATTCCAATCTGGTCTTCCACTCAGGACTCAGAAATGCATACCAGGTTTCCTTCCTCTTCCACAAATGAGTCATGGATGATAAATGTTAAACTAGAATGGCATAGCGCCACTAGACTAGAGGTTAGGCTGACAGGCAACCTGGATTCTAATCAATGGAGGGGAGTATGGCCAAGGAGTCAACTTTCAAAAGTACTCCTAATCTCTCCTGACCTGACGAATACAGCCCTCAGCTGTTTCTGCCTTTATTCTGCCAGTCAGAATAAAGTAATCTTCTTTCCCCTCCATCTTATCACCCAGGACATTGCTATTCAGGGTAATGCATATACTTACAAAATGAATTGCATGTGTGTTTACAGAATAGTAAACAATAACCCTGTTAAATTAACCATTAAAATGCCAAACAGAAATATAGACACTCAGGTTTATTAACTCATCTGGTCAGATCAACTATGATTTAACTAGATTCTGCTGCTTTTCATTTATTTTATTTACTTATTTACAGGACTTATATGGTTGCCTAGCTCATATAATGATTCTAGGCAGCTCACAACCACCCATAAAAACAAAGATAAAAACAAAAGTACCTTCTCCCCAGGCACCAGACCAAATAGCCTCCCAGCTCAACCCCCATCCTAGCCCAGTATCTGGGGGAAGAGCCAGGTCTTCATGGCCTTCCAGAAGGCTAAAAGAGTAGAGATCCCTTGGATCTCAGGTGGGGGGCTATTGCAAAGGGCTCAGGTGGCCATGGAGAAGGCACGTCTTCAAGGTCCCATCAGATGGCAACATTTAAGGGAGGGGACATGGAGCACACCCACCCTATCGAACCTAGTAGGATGGGCAGATACCCTCAGGGAGAAGCAGTCCTCCTTATCCCGCTCAGGTTTCTGAGGATAGCCACCCGCAAGTTTCTCAGGCTCCTACCCTGGGCTATCTTTCTATCCTTGGGCATTTCCTCTGACATAGTTTTCACTGTTTCTGCTTCCCTTACAAATGAGTTTGAAGCTGTCCTTTGATTGTCTTCATTTCTATCAACCTTGAAGTGCCAAGGACAGACAAGTTGGGGATAGGACCGTAGGTTCTTTGCTCCTAAACATATAAAGATATTGTGAATTTGGGAAATGAGTTTAAGGGTTGGTTTATTTGCCCAACCAAAAGCAGTGCCTCATATTTTTCTGCAGGTATCAATTTATTAGGCATGAAAGCAAGCTGGGTGGCTTTGGGCCAGTCTCACTCTCTCAGCCTAACCCACCTCACAGGGTTGTTGTGGAGAAAATAGGAGGCAGGAATATTTGATATGTTTGCTGCCTTAAGTAATATATAAAAGGCAGGATTTTAAAAAATCTAATAGTAATAATAATAACAATTAGATGGTGATTTCAAGTGTATATGAATATGTGTCAGTATACTGCAAGTACCTTTGAATTGGTGGGATGCGGGCAACAGTATGTTGGCTTGCAAGGTAGCCTCTAGATTAGAGATCCCAGCTATGTCTAAGGCTGGTGACCAAGTCTACACCTTCTCTATCTTACTAAAAAGCACTGTTATGAATGAATGAGAGAAAATGTATGTCAGAAAATATTACTTGATTATTATGAATACATATGAAAGCAGAAACCTGTAGTTTTGTGATATTTGCATGATAGTGAAAAGTGATCATGGAAGAACAAGAGATGAGTTTTCAGAGAAATTATAGCACATGCTAAATGAATGTGATCCACGGGAAACATTCCCTGTTTAGATGACATGAATGATTGAGTGAAAACAAGATGAGAGTACAGAAAAAGTGATTTGACCATTTGGAGATCCAGTAATGAATGAGATTGGTGAGTATCTGTTTATAAAAAGTCTGTTTGTTTTGAATATGTGTTTTAAACATAAGTTTTTATAAGTACAAATGGCAAAGGAATGGATATAAATCTGAAAGAATTATTTGATCATTTATGACAAAAGATTTAGATAAATTGTGTAGGATACAAAGATAACTAAAAATTCTAAACATGGGACAGACCCTTACTTACTAGTATCAAGAGTAAAAAAAAAAATGGACATCAAAGAAAAGGGAAAAAGGGAAAGAAAAATAAATGGAAGTGGAGAGACTGCAGAAAAAGACAGTATGAGTCCTGTATGAAAAAATATTTGAAGATAGATTAATTTACCAAGGTATTTACCAAGGTATTACCAAAAAATATTTGAAGATAGATTAATTTAACTGACAGTAGATAAGGAAAAATAATGCAAATGTCAGTTTGGAAGACACTGAAAAGATCACAGAAATGTGTAGAATTATGTTAACAGGAAGTATGGTAACAGACGCTTGGTGGAATGATGAGATGAAAGAAGTTGTGAAGAACAAATGCGTATGATTGCTGCAAAAATGAGGATGAGAGAAAGATATTGTTTAATGGTTGCAAAGTATGAGGGAACCATTACCTAGAGGATTTTCCCATGTAAGCTCCATTGCAAAAAATAGGTATCTGCACTGATGCCCTAATAATGGCGAACAGCCTGACTGATTTGTGGGACAAAACTGAATTTCAGTTCAAACATTAAAATTACAATCTCTCCTTGAAAATCAGCAAAAATCTTAATATGTGGCATAACTGTAGAGCTAGATGGGGAGTGAACAAAGCAAAAATAAAAGAGTTTGAACATCCAGATTTACAGCAAATACCCAGTGCTAGAGCCTTGAGTCCTGTTGATTTTGAGCAAATGCTTATAGTGTCTCTGATTCTAAGAAAGAAAGCTAGCAAAATATATTACTTCAAAATCTTTCTGCCAGAACACTGTGATTTAAGAATCTTGGTGAACACATTTATTGTGAAAAGAAGTAATCAGTCACAAAAATGCATGCTTCCATTTCCTCTTCAATTCTTCCTACCCTGGCATTTTCCTATCCGGAATGTTTGGATAAAAATATAATGTATTTCTTCATCCTCAGGAATCCATAATCAAATATCAGTGCTTTAGAGATATTTAAATTTGGGCTTGGTCTGATTTAAAAGAAAAGTACTTTAATTAAGACATTACTTGAATTGGGCCTTAATTAGCCTAATTCAATTCAGAATTTGAGCAAACCATATCTTCAGTACTAATAAGCTGTGCAAAAACTCAGTAGTACTATTTGTGCAATTGCTATTCATGTCCTGTGGCTTGTGCAAAAGAGCTAATTAATGTGGTCATAGTGGTTGCCAGTTAACATTTTCAGTTCAGATACCAACATTTTCTGAAGTGAGCCCATTAATTTTTTTCATTTACTCTGAAAGTTATTTGGAAATAAAAAGAAATATATCATGGGTCTATTGCTCAGGGAAAGGAACAGTGCGAGATATGAATATGTAGCTACATAATATTAATTTCAGGAAATGCTGCTTTCAGGGCAAATCATACTGCCATGAACAGCGAATGCATCTTAATTTTTACTTCTGCTGCTACAAGGACTACAGTTAAGATTTTAAAAACTTAGGAGAATGCAGCAGGGAAAAGATTTCACATTTTGGTGACCAGGGTAGATTATGCAAATTCTTAAAACTTTGTTCAGAGCAGAATGCTGCTATGTGAAGGCCCATTTAATAATGCTTCACATCAATAAATTATTTATGCCTCCATAGTTACGAAAAGTTGTATTCACTGAAATTATGAAGAAAATCTTCTAGTGAATTAATATTAGAATTAACAATATTAATTGTTTAATTATTAACAATAATTAAAATAGCACTATGTATGTGTATCAGGTATGATATTAAATCATGTTGTAACCAACACAATTTCATGTTCTAGTCTTAACTAAACATGCAGAGGTTACAATAACTGAAGGTTCTGAAGATGACTATCAGTATGAAGAGGTAAGAACATAAAATGCACTTTATGCATAGGATGTTCTGATCTCCCTGATCCATCATCTGATCTTGCTATCAGATCTTGATAAATTAATAGTAAATATCTCTTCTCTAGCTCTCTCTCTGTGTATAAAATCAGTATTATGAAGTTGGAATTTATTTTGATCTAATTAGGAAAAGCTTTTTAAAAACTTTGTGAACATGAGCAATGTAGTAATGATCATCCCTTATATATGAAGCAGGAAGATAAGAAATGGAAAAATGTATTAGCCAGTACAGCTGCTGCTAAAATATCATTATTGCCAAACCTCTTATTTTATTTTTAATAACCTCTAATAGTAAATTATTGAGAAATCAAAATCTGTGGCAAAAGATTATTAATTTTCTTATATGTGAAGATAAGCTAATGAGAATTCAAACATGCTAAATGCAAGTTGGACAACAAATGGGTGGCTTGTCAATTTCCCACCTTAAATCCTATTACCAAGCCACATTATTAAAATGATTATTTTAGTGCCACTATCTAAATTAGAATGATTCAGCTCCAAAACTGGAGCAGTTTAATGTGGATGGACAAGGAAGATATACCATCTCATTAATGGAAAAATTAATTCTGGAATAAAATTAGGAGGCGCATGAGCCCTGGGGTCTCCCTGTTAGCATAGTAATTAGGCATGAGAATTTTGATTAGATGCCTCAAACTTCAGATTTCAGAGCCCAGGACCAACCTAAAATGAACAGGATTATTTCTTTTTACAGAATGTCATTTTTGGGCAGCAATTTGGTGTTGATTCTGGAAGTCAAACACCCTCCTTGGTTTCAGTGTCTGCAAATTAAATACTTCCAAAGTTGGGATAAACAAGAATTTTTCAGGGTCTGTCCAACAGAAAGCTATTATTAATATGTCATTAATTCACCAAATTGTATGACTTAAGAAAGACAAGTCAAAGGGTAAAGCTTATTTTATTGAATTCATGGGAAAACAAGGTGGGAGGGAATGTCTCAATCTCTGTTCAAAATCAGTAAAAAAAAAATCTTTCCTCCCTAAAGAAAATGATAAGTAAGCCAGAAAAATACTATTCTTCATACTATTTTACTCCTGAATCATATTTATGTATTCAACTGCAGAGAATATCAAGCTTGCAGAGCTCAGGTTCTTTACATATTATGGATTTGTTCATAGACAAATGGTTACTGGGTAGATATCATGAATACTGTTTCTAATATAACATGGAAAAATCCAATTTCAACCTGTATGATAATTATTTTTAATAGATTCAAGCAGGTCTCAAGCCTCCTCAAAAATCATGTTGATCATGACTTTTTAGAAGAGTCAAGATCGTCAGGGCAAAAGGGGAGATGTATTTTGTTTTGAGCTTTAGACAAAAAAGCCTTATTCAGAATATTTAATTAGAACATTCTAAATTGGCTGTGTTCCATACAAAACTGGAAAAACCTCAAGTAGTGTTTGTTTTCCTACATGGAACAATACTTTTCATATTCAAGCTCAAGTACTTTTTAAAATGGTTTGTAATTCGGAACATTAGGAACTCAAAGCATACTCCTGCTCCCTTATTTTTTATCATTAGGCCACAAAAAATAGGTGGATAGTAGAGCATGCTCACTGTTACTTACCATCCAATCTACAGAAAACTTGGCCAAGACTTTTCTTTTAAAAAAATAGCATGCAGCCTGAAATCTGTCAGGAAGAACATGCTCAAAAACAGAAGTAACATGATTTAACAAGCAGCTTGAAACCTCAACATCAATAAGAGCATTCACAAAGAGCAGACTCCAAAACTCATTAAATAAATAAAAATATATAGACTTCACATGTTATAGGCAACAGACAAATATTACTAGCAATACTTGTTTAAGTTTTTTGGGATCACTTAAATGTTGTCTTGCTGTAAAAAAACCCCACATAACTCAAGAACCCATATCTCACCAATAGCAAAGGTGTTTTAATTTTTTTGTAAAAATTTTAAAAAACCTCTGAAACAAGTTTAATGATCTTATGGGAAAAGAAGAAATATTGACAAGAGGGAAAATATGTTTGGGGTGTTTTTGAGTATCACTTCTTTCCCCTTCTTTGCCATTTACATCCTTTTTAAAACTTAAAACAAACTTCTTTCTTATTGACTATGTCAGCACCAGAGTTGGCATGGTTTTTAAAATCTGTTTTAGAGATCTGAAGATTCATTAGTTTTTTCTGGCAGATTTTGACCACTAATTGTTTTTGTCAGTGACAAAAGCAGGTTGCACAGGTTACCTCAAACATCTCCTTTTTCACATAAGTGCATTATGGTTTGATTAACTACCCTGATGAAATGAACAAGAGCTGTTTTAGAATTGTGAACAAACTACAAATTAGACGGTTTGTGTGCCTAGTCCAATCATGGTTCTACTTACCTAAATGCAATATTCCCTGTTTAGAAATTGCTTTCTGGGATTTCAGACAAAGGATCTTTCCAGATCTGATATTTAAATCTTATTTGGGTGACATGCTAGAGACTGAAGCTGGGTTCTAACAAATGCACAGAATGATACCTTCTGCACATGAGCCCCATTTCAGTTCTGCCTTTCCTTGCTAAATTAAAAGAGTTTGTGATGCTTAACACTGAAACATTTCCCCTCTTCTCAGTGAGCATACTAATTTTATATATATTTATAATTGCGACTTAGATTCCAGCAGATGAGGATTTTAGCTTCCAGGAAGGTGATGAAGATCTGGCAAAAGCTTTACACACAATGCAGGAACAGACCATTGATGCCCAAATTATGGTAAGTATGTTATACATCAAAATAGGAGGCTATGTTAATTTGCATGAGTTCATAATAAATAATGTAATAAAAATGATTTAATATGCAAGATTCTGCATAGCTGACTTGAGAAAACAAGCAGTTTGTATGAGTTGAGCTATTAGACTGGGTAAGATTGCCTTATATTAAGGCTAAGACGTATAGATATTTGATATTCCCCCTTTTTTCCCTCAAATGTGTGAATTTCTCAGGGATGTCCATAACAAAATCTAACTATATATTAATGAAGTGCAGTGTTACATGTGTACTCATCAAACCAACACAGACTCTTCCTCCACACTCTTACATAATGTCTATTCTCCCCCTACAAAGTAGTAAAAAAAGTAGGGCTACTATGTTTTGACTGCAGACATTATGATGGTAGCAAAAAATATCATCTAATCTAATTTAGTGCCACGTAGACTTGTAGGAGAGGGCCATATAGGGGAGGAGACAGAATAAAAAAAAAAGAGGAACAAAAGGTGAGGCCACTAGAAGGTGAAGAAAAGGAGAATAAAATTTTTAAAAATTCAGATTATAGAATCCAACACAATTCTTGATGTTTGGCCACACTTGGACAAAGTTAACTTCCAGACTGTTGCAGCATAAATTTTAATCACAATTCATTGAATTAAATTCATGACTATACTTGTGAAGGTACTCTAATAAGCTGGATAATAAGAAATAAACTATATATCCTATATATCTCACTGTAATTTACAAGATAAAAAATATTTCAAAAAATGTTTTAAAATATTTAAAAAATATTTTCCTGAAACAAATGATGAGGCAGATGGTGTTTCTAAAAGCATCTCCTGAATTTTTCTTTCTAGGCTCAGCGGCCAGGCCAGATCACTAAACAGTCCTTGTCTGAAACACCTGAAGTTGTAGATGACTTTCTTTGCAATTTTCTAATCAGAATGGGAATGAACAGGACACTAGATTGCTTTCAAACTGAATGGTAAAGCTTTCTTATTAAATAGGGGATCTTGTATTTCAAATTACTATTCATTTTTGGACCTTGGAATGTTGCTTTTTGGTTTTGTTTCTGTGCTTTCATACTAGGGATTTTTTTTTCTATATGTAATTTTTGAGTCTGCCATTAATTAGAATACCAATATTTTAAAATGTCAAGCCAATAAAATACCCTTTTTAAAAGTCAAGCCACCCCGACTGCTTAAAATTTAGTTCTATTCTTCCATATCCTAAAATGGATGGTTAATCTGGATCATAAGGTCTAAAACAGTGCTAATATAACCCTGTGCAAAACAAAATTGAAAACTGGTACCAATAAAACTATTGCTGAGTCAGAAGACTCTCTGAATTGCAACACCAGCCTAATCCCACTTAGCAGCAAAAATGGCCAGTTGGAATTGTGGGGCTGGGAGTTGTTCACTGTGCCTGCACTGCCAAAGGGGAAAAAGGTTAGGTAGATCCTAGAAGTTCAGAGATTCAGAAGAGCTTGATGCTAGCAGGGGAAGGATGGCAAAAGGAGGATTAGGAGAGAAGTGTGGGTAGTTATATTGTTTGAAGACTCAGAGAGTTCTGCAGAAGAAAGCTCTGCTTTCCTCCATTGGGAAAATTAAATTAGCATTTGGTAGCTCCAGGCCTTCTATAGTGAGGGAGCTGCAGATAATATGAGACTCTGTTTGTGAACTTGGGATCTATGGAACAAATGGGATTGCTGTATTTGCTTTCTGCTGCAAGGCTGCTTCCCTGTCTGAGCTGCTTGAAACTATGGCTGTCAGTTTGGCTACCTGTTCATTAGATCCATGTTCTTCCTGGTTGGTCAAGGCCTCCAGGGAAGTGACGTGTGGCTGGATTCCGGTAGTGATGAATTCACTATTGAGTTGAAGGGTTGATTCTACTTATACTTAAGGAGGCAATGGTCTGCTCCCTCCTCAAAAATACCACTTAACCCAATGGTATTGGACAATTTCAACCTATTTCCATTCTTCCATTTCTTGGGGAGGTTGTTGAGAAGGTGCTTGAGCTCTGGATAAAACAGATTATCTGGGATATCTTACAAACAAGCCATAGATTTTTTAAAGGATTAAAAATAATATCCAGCTATTTGATTTAAAAATTATATCAATGTACATTCATCATCTCTATTATAAATCTGAAACTGATAAGAGAGCTATTGCTTTAAGAGACCGCAATGGTTATGCAAACTGGAGACAAAGTAAGGCAATATACTGGTATAGACTATTGATTTCTCTTTCTAGACATGATGGGAATAAGATTTGTGTTAAACTACTCTTTAACTTTCTCCTTAAATGTTTTATTATAAATTTTGAAACAAAACTTAACATTATTGACAATATCCCTTAAAAAACTTTGTGCTAAAATTGTTACTAGATTTAATTGAAAGGAAGATGACCCACAATTTCACATATTTCTCCCAAAATAAATATATATAAAATTCATCTGCAATGCCCTTGTTAACCTGGGGTTGCCAATTTTAGCTAAGATCAGTCTTGAAGATGCCTCTTCCTCAGTAAATGTGTTGTGGTTGCAAAAGGCCATATTTCCCCCATCCTCGTCCCCTGCCCCAGAGAAGGCCAGAGATGAAAACTATATCAACTGAATTACTAGCTACCAATTAAAATTAATTGCCTGTAAAATAAAGCACTCCTATAAAATTGATTCCCCCACCTTAACATACCAATCACACCACATTTTCACATAAAAACACAAACTACTGTTTCTCTCTGTTTGTCTGGCTGCCTGTCTGTCTGTCTGTCTCTTGCTCTCTCTCTCTCTCTCTCTCTCTCTCTCTCTCACACACACACACACACACACACACACAGATTCCTTGTCATCTTTCCAGCAGAAACAGCAAAAAAAGAAAAGGGAAAAAGGGTAGGGGTAAAAATTGGGCGAAGATAAAGCGAGAAGAAAAGGTGGCTAAATGGGAAAAAAAGAGAAGTGCTGCTTAGATGTTTAAAAAGGTTTAAAATTTATCATGAAAATGGCTCCTCTTAAGGGATCTTCAGAATTATCTATGTAGGTCATATAATTATTAGTCTTAAGGGTGGAGATTTAGAACCCTGAATTCATGTTGGTTCACGGTGCTGCTGAATAAAGATAAGAACATTTTCACAACTATTTTTTACCACGGAAGAATTATTTCCTTTATTGCTTAACTTAGATTGATGAATCTGTTTTTATGCCTAGAGGACTTAGTCAGCTGATGAGAGAGTATGAAGAGATGGAGGGAATGGTTTTCAAATTTCAGACACAAAATTGAGTGAGATAGCTAATTGCTTAGAAGACAGAAATAAGATTTTTAAATGTTCTTGACAGATTAGAGAAACTAACAGAATGAACTTTAGCAGAGACAAATGCAAAGTTCTTCACTTAGGAAATAAAAATAAAATGCATAGATATAGGATGCGGGATATCTAGCTTTGTAATTATATTTGAGAAAAAATAATTTGAAATAGTAGTTGACAGACTGAATATGTGTCACCAGAGTCAAGGTAACTTAAGCTGCATCAAAAGAAATATAATTTCCAAAGGACAGGAAATAATTGCTCCCCTTTATTTGGCTTTAGTTAAAGTACTGTGTCTAGTTCTAGGCGCCATACTTTAAGAAAGGTCCTGATAAATGGTTCAGAAGGCCAGTAAGAATGATTAAAAGAGCTAGAAATGAAGTCCTACGAAGAAAAATCAAAGGAGCTTGTTAAGTGTAGATTTCAGAAAAGACTGAAAGAGCAAATACCCCAAAAGATGTCACAGTACAGAAGCTGAAGCTTATTCTCCCTTATTTCAGAGTGGAGGATACAGAATATTAGATTTAATTTATAGAAAGGTAAATTCCATCTGAATTTTAGAAAAGAGAGTGAATTGGCAATAGAAAAGTTACCTGTGAAGATAATCGTCTTGCCTTCACTGGATGTGTTGAAGTAGATGCTAGATAGACATCTCCCTGGGATGGTTTAATATGGTTTCCTGCATTGAACAAGAAGTTTGACTGCATAGCCAAAATGGTCCCTTCCAACTACATGATTCAATGCTAAAATAGAAAGAAAGGACAATTTGTAATTCCTTAAATTTATGTTATCAACCACAGTCAACTCAGTCCCATTTCCTTCAGGACAGTATATTCTATATGAGCACCTCTTTCCCATTTCAGTATCTGTCTGAAATTTGAATGAAGTGTTCCTCACTGATATTTTTTAATAAATTACTTAAAATTTCATCAAATGTTCAGTCCAAAGAACAGTGTTATGGGTATTTAAAAACAGCTTCTTGAACATAGGTTGAAAGTTCCAATATTGATTTCCATGAGATTTGTCAACTTTATCCCCCATACTAGTTCACCTTGTTTAAAGTTATTTTATTGATCTCTGATATTAAACTTTGATTTGTGCTATTTTATTGTGTTGTTACTGGTTTGTATATTTTTAACCTCATTTACAAAAATGAGGCATATAAACTGCTCAGACTTGGTATCAGTTGGAGAGGCATGTAAGCCCAGAAAACAAACAAACAAACAAATTGTATTTTCCTGAAAAACAAAGATAAGTTTGTTTCTGAGTTTTGTTCCAAAATTGGGGCTCGAGTCGATCTGGGATGACCTAAACCAGACTATTCTAGTTCCGGAGCTCTAGATCTAATCTCACAGTTGGATTGCACATTCCTATACTTGTTCCTATTCCAGAGCTTTTCTTTTTCTTTTTGTCTGAATAAGAGTTTATCTTTATTCATCTTTTTTCACTTATCCTGTCAGATTTAAAAAGGAAGCTTGACTCATCATTTCTTTGTTTAACAACTAGACTGACAGGTTTTCTCATATATTCACATTAGGCAGTCAATTCACTGAACCTTGTAGTGGGAGACTTGATATATCTCAGTGTCCAAATTTCTGGTCTGTCATAGCCCATGAAAGGGCTTATTTAGTTTACATTCTTGTATTTCCCTACCGACACTGAAATATCTGGGATTAAGAATATGATGATAATCTCACATTTACAGAGATTCAGCAGACTTGTAAGGATTTTATCTTCTATTTTTTTTAGAAAAGCAAAAGAATGTAAGAGGAAGAAGAAATACATTTCTGAAATACACTGAGCATTTAAAAATACTCTGTCAAAATTTTTCTGTAAGATTTCCCTTCTCTTTTTAAAAAACTGGTTTCTTTCGGAGCTTCTCCTCTTTTCTGTAGGATACAATAGAGCCATTGCGGGAAGGTTTTTTTATGCCACCTTCCATACAATCACATCTTGACGCAGTTTACAATAAAAGTGATTAAGATGAAATAATAATAAAGCATGTTTTTTTAAAGATATTCATTAAAAATATTTGAAAGAAAGTCAAATAACTTTATGCTTGAAATATTGATATCCTAAATTCTAATTAATATTGATAGAATATTTATTTCGCTTTTCTTTATTTCCAATACTCTTATCCAAACAATAGAATGTCAATAATTTGAATTAATATTGTACAAATATAATTGTATCAAAACAATATAATGTATCAAGATTTACAACAATATAATAAAATGGGGGGGGGAGTTTGAAATAGAGGAAACTAACAAAACAGAATCTTTAAGAGCCAGTTTAGTCTAGTGATGAAGGTGGCAGCCTAGAAACCAGGAGACAGTGAATTCTAGGCCTCCCTTAGGCATAAAGGTGGCTGGGTGACTTTGAGCCAGTCCCTCTCTCTCAGCCCAACCCAGCTCATAGGGTTGTCGATGTGGGAAAATAGGAGGCAGGAGTATTAGGTATCGTTGCCACGTTGAATTATATATATATAAAAAGTGGGATAATAAGAATAAGAATAAGAAGTAGTAGTAAATCACTCATTTAGAGAAGATACTCTAAATGTGCCACAATACAGTAAGATATGTTCTTCTCCATCTTCTCTTCTATTGCCATTTATAACATGGCAAGAATGGTCCAGAAACCTCTATCACAAGACAGTGAAGGACATATATGAAGCAGTTCCAGG